CTAGAAGAATTTTCTGTACAAGATCATTAATATATTTATTAGTAAACAAGCCATGTCTTGCTAAGTAGTAAGAAATAAATTCAATGTATAACTTTTTATGAACCAACTTGCCTTTCTCTTCTCATAGAATTCAAGTCTTACGTGGAAGAATTCTTCAAGAACTGCAAATCAAAGAATTAAATTGTAAATAGCCTGAAAATTTGATGCATGAATAGAGGTTAATCTGAACAGGTGTATAGTGCAATCATACTCTGTTCAGGGGTATCATATTTCTTAATCACGCCTTTTGGGTCGAACAGATGCATGTTGCTCGTGCTGATAGTTGTGGTGAGTTTAAATTTCTTTAGCAAGCCCTCTTGCTTTGCCATGATCAAGTTCTCCTCGGACATAATGACTTCAAAGTGTACGGTAGTGTCATCGTTGTGCTCTCTGTAATCCTGCAACCATTAAAATCTACCGTGAGACTCCAAACACCTCACATACTAGTGCTACAACTTAATAATATACTAAGAAATCAGTTCAAGAAATCAAACTTAATTATACCTTGATAAATGGGTCCTTGATTTTGTCATTTCCTGTCATAATTGATTCAAGAAATTCTTTATAATCTTGAGTCCATCGTCGTATAGGCAGCTCTGTAATCCTGAGTGTAGTTTCATTGATTTCCTCCATAATTCCACAAACAGTGTAGCTAATCCCAGCTTCTTTGGTTGCTGTTTTCTCAATGGTTCCTCTGAACCCTTTGTACCATGGATCCATCGGCTCCATTTGCTCACCATTCAACAAACGCCTCACATTAGCAACAATATCCCTTGGATTATAATTTGGAATGTAGGAGCTCCATCCTGTCCCAATTCCTTCACTTCCATTGACAAGAACCAATGGTATGACAGGCATGTACCTGAACGAAAAACAAAATAATTTAGACATCTGCAAAACCTTCATCATAATATGTTTATTTGCCACTGATAAAAAAAACTTACCAAACAGGTTCAATAGATTGCCCATCTTCATTCAAGTAATCAAGAAGTATATCATCATCCTTGGGGAACATGAACCGTGTGATAGGAGAAAGCCGAGTGTATATGTACCTAGCACTCGCATGATCTTTGCCTCCCTTTTAAGATACAACAATACATGTAAGCATAGGAAACAAATTTAAAACAAAACAACGAACTCCAATATGTTTGTTTGAATTTGATTGAGTGATGTTTTTCTTTCCTCACCTGATGACGAGTGCCAAATTGACCGTTTGGTTGAAGCAAGTTTAAGTTATTGCTGCCCACATAATCCTGTGCCATGCCAATGATGGTACTGGCAAGACTCTGCTCGCCATGATGGTAAGCTGAATGCTCAGATACATAACCAGAGAATTGAGCAACTTTTGCTTCCTTCACAAAGTTGCGCTTGAAAGAACAGAAAAGGATCTTCCTTTGACCTGGTTTCAGGCCATCAACCATTGAAGGAATTGACCGTTGAAGATCTGCCATAGAAAACAATATAAGCTCTTTGTTGACAAAATCACTGTACTTGATGAGCTTCTCCTTCTGATCAAGGTAAGTGCCAGGCTGCAAATCACATAGACAAAGAAAGTGTTAATAGAAAAAGAACAATTACAGAACACCTTAGATTTTATGGAAGAAGAAATTTAACTTCCAACCTCAAACTGTCGGAGCCAATTCTTCCTTGCTTCAATTTTCTTCTTACTGAAGGCAAGCTCAATTGCTTCCCCATCTTGCTCGTCTACCCACATGAAGTCTTTCTTGTGCATTTGAAGATTGCTAAAATACTCCTTCCCTTCCTTTGATGTGCTGGTTCCCAACCCCTGTCAAGCCAACAAGTGCAATAATAGATGAAGTGCAATAATTACGAATCTGACACAGTTCACCCAGAAATCCAAAGTAGGTTTCCTCACTGAAACAATACCAAAACTGAGACAAATATAGTAGTGCAGAAACAATACCAAAACTGACAGCACAAACAAAAACACCAAGTACCCTAGATTTATCCCTCCTGTGATCTTGAACATACAAACCTTATAGTATTTAATGGACCAACCGCTAGCATTGCCTCCCAAACTCTCCTTCCAAGATTCATACTCAGGCATGGAATAAAAGGCTAGAACCTTCCCATTTCTGTGAGTAGCCTGTGCAACAATAAATACCAGTTATTATAAACTTCACTTTCAGTTCCGCTAGACAGTAATGGAAGTAAGATTGGACAGGGAGCACATACCTTCACAATAGGTGTAATGAACTCAACTAAGAAAGAAGGAACTTTTAGCAACGATGGCCAAAATGAATGAATAAAATTAATCAACAGCCCTTTAATATGTGATCCATCATGGTCCTGTGAATGCATAAAAATTGAAACTTTTAACCAAGTCATCAACAAACAAACTAAAATGCATCCACACTCAGTAATGAATCAACATATAGATAAAATCAAAAGAAAAGACAAAACAAGAAGTTAAATGTATTAAACCTGATCAGTCATGATCATCAAATGACCGTATCTCAAAGTCTTCACACTGTCGTACTGTTTTCCATGCTGAAGTCCAAGAATCTGCTTGATGCTCTGAATTTCAGCGTTTTCCATGATCTGTTTATGGCTTGCTTCCCTCACATTAAGCAATTTACCTCTCAACGGGAACACACCATAATAATTTCGACCCACGACAGAAATACCTGCCATCTGTGTATACTCAAATCAATTAAAACTCTGAAACAAAACCAAACTCAACTGAAACTACTTAAATAGCTAGACAACTTACCGCAAGTGCCTTCGCCGAATCACCTTCTGTCAAAATCAAGGTACATTTATCAGAGCTCTTCCCTCCGGCATCATTAGCATCTTCTAGTTTGGTAATCCCAGTTATCCTCTGTCTCTTTGTCCCATCAGTTTTCTTAAGATCCTTGCTCTGCTTAAAATCTGCCCATGACAAGAGACTTTCCACTATTCCAGACTTGGACACTGCAGGAGAATTGACCACAAAAGCATCAAAATTAAGCTCAGAAAAGGAGTAAACAACTTTTTTTTTCTTTTTGAAATTTATATTAATAATAATAATAACAGATTTCAAAATAATAGAACAAACCTTTCTTCAAGAACTCCTGTGAAAGTTCACATTTCGACCCAAAACTGCTTTGGCGAATTGTCAAAGTCTCTTTGGTTTGAGAATCAAAAGCTGGGTTGTCAATAAGAGCATTGACAAAAACCCATAGATGGTTCTTCACTGCATGGGCTTTGAGATTGGCATTCTTATTCTTTTTATTAACAATACCCATTACATAGTTTGTAATCTGGTTGGTAACATAATCAACATGAGTCCCACCCTTAATTGTCGCAATTGAATTTACAAAGCTCACCTGGAAAGTCATCAACCCATCAAAATTAAACATTAAGTTTCATCAATGCAGTGTACATTATATACATCCTATTTATAGAACTACATTCCAATTCTAGCACCATCAGTACCTGCTGAAACTGCCCTTCAGTAAGACTGACACATATCTCCCACCTATCGTTAACCTTTTCAGCAATCCTGATGAAATTGTTGAATTTGATTAGTATTTTGATTAAAATTATGAGAAGTAAAATGGATCAATAAATATTGAAATGAAAACCTTGGGAGGGCATCTGGTCTGGCTTTGGAGGCAGATTGAAGGTAGAGATTAACATAGTCGAGGAAAGACTTTACTGGAATACGTTGCCCATTAAGCTCAACCTTCACAGTCTTTCCAAGGCATCCCGCTAAGTCAATCACCCGCTTTTTCATCAGGGCAACAACATCATCTTCAAGATGAGTCATATTGAATTTTGCTAAGTCAGGCTTAAATGTAACTTTTGTCCAATTTTCGCTCTCCTTGCATTTTGTTATGACGGGCTCAGATTTCTTTCCCATATTGTTGGAGAAAACCTTCATAGGAGTGGAAGGAACTTGCCAGTTAGCAAAGCACATGAATCATGATAAGGCTTTGTTAGGAAAACTATATGTACAAACAACAGAATATGCTGCCAACGATTTTTTATAAAAAAGATTCAAATCAGAATTTATATATTAGCAGGCAAGTGAAACATGCATGGTATGACTTAAATTTGAAAGAAACCCCAATTGGCTTAGAAGGCTTTTACAACTTTTACAAAGTTGGAAACCAGATAGCAAGTAATAAGTTCAATATTTGATGATGTTCTGCCTTTGCTATGTTTTGTCAAAAGAACCCAACATAATTCAACACAAATGAAGCTTATGTAATTATTCCTACTATGATGGTTATGATGTAAACAAGAAACCTCAGTTTCAGAACCATTAGAACAACATACAGACAACATCAATAATTTCAAACCAACTGTGAATGAATCATAGAACAATTGGCATGATAAAGTCCACAAGAAAAACTTCAAAATCAAAAATCCAAGTGCTCTGTAGTTCAAGTCCCTAGTTTATTTCTATTGAATTGGATCGGATAATCAATAACCAGAAATTTAAAAAAATAAAATAAAATAGAACTCGATATCTTCATTGACCCCTAAAGTAAAGAAATGTCTGCATTGTATAGATAAACATCCAAACATCAATAATTGCAAAGCATCCCTCACAGTATCAGGAAAACCCCAAGATCCAACGAAAAAAAATCTGAAGTAACTCTAATCAATAATCATCAGTCGCAGACAAAGATTTAAGAATTAAATTCGAAAATAAAACCCTAAATCCTGAAGTTATCAAAACCCTAGATCTGTAAATAACCTTTCTCAAATTCAACAAACAATCAAGGGCCACATTAAAAAATCTAAAACAGCATATATATCCATTACACAAAAACACTCAAAACCCTAAATCAATACTCAGAAATCAAGATTTCATAACCAAGAAGGGCCATTAAAATCACAAAAAAAAAAAAATCACAAATCTGTATATACCTGCTTGTACTTCTTCTGCCTCTTCCCATCCGCAGTCTCGATCACAAACTCCGTCGAAAATATATTCGTAAGCTTCGCTCCGTACCCGTTCCTTCCACCGGTCGTCTTCTTCATCGAATCGTCGTAATTACTACTCGTCAGGAGGTGCCCGAAGATCATCTCGGGCACATAAACCCCTTCCTCCTGATGAATCTCCACGGGAACACCATCCCCATTGTTGTAAACACTAATACAGTTCTGTTCCACATCGATCGTCACCTTGACGGAGTCCATGGATGGGTCTCTCTGCTTGTTATCAGCGGCATTTACGAGGATTTCGTCGAAAATCTTGTAAAGGCCCGGGACATAGGAGATAGATCTGTGGACCATTTCGTTGTTTTCGTAGACCCAGAGGGTTTGGGTATGCTTTTCGATGGAGCCGACGTAGGTGTCGGGACGGAGAAGAATGTGCTCGAGCTGGGTTTTCTTTTGGTAGGTTTCTTCGATGGTTTTGGCCGATGTTGCTGTGGCGGCGACATTGGCGTTGTTGCTGCTCTGTAAGGGTAGTTTTTTGTCTTTGGCCATGGTGGTTTGAAAGAGAGACACAGAGATGGTGTCTTGGAATCTACAGTGAGTGAGAGAGAGAGCGAGAGAGAGAGAGCGAGCGGGGTGAAATGAGGAGAGAGACGGGGTTAAATTGATCTGGGGCAAACGGTCGATTGATTTGAATTTGAAATTTGGGTTGAGCGGGATTTCAAATGAACGGACAGAATGGTGCTTTGGGATCGAACCGCGGTGGTCCGTTCATCGGCGTCAAAAGCATTGGGAAAAGAGAAAGTGCACATGAGAGTCAAATGTGTCAAAATGATATTAAAATGATGTAATTTTGAAATATTTGAATTATGAAAATTCGGGTATTAAGATTAAGTTTGGCATTTATTAAATAATACAAAAAGTTAAAAAGTTATTATTTTATTTAAGTCATATCATTTTATTTAAATCACATCACCTCTCTAACACATCGCATCAAACTCAACCCATATAAGTAAATAAGTCAAAATGTGTACTTTTTTAGAACATCCCAAACCAACCCTAAGTGTATAAACTCACCATTGTTTGGCATAAAAAGTTAGGGAGTTTTTTTTTTTAGAAGATAAAAAGATATTTTAAAAAGATGGTTAGAAACTAGCATTCTAATTTTGTTTTTGAAAAAATATGTACAAAATATGAGAGATGATGTGACTCAAAATGAGTTAAAAATTAATAAGTGACTTTTAATCCACTTTTCAAAAGAGGCCAAAATATCGCATTTAATTATAATCATTTTATTTTTTTTTCTAACAAAAGTCAAAAGAATCAAAAAAATCTATTCCAAACAAGACTTTTTAACCTCAAATTAAAATAATTAAAAAATTAAAAAATTAATTCACAACTAAAATATCTCAAGATTTCACACGAACCACATGAGTTAAAAAGTCCCTTTTTAGATGTCTTATTTTTTAGTTTTTTTTTTATTTATTACAAAAAGATTAATAAAAAAATATAGAAATAATATGATAGAAATAAATCCAAATATGTTTATTTTTTAGTTTTTTTTTTTATTTAGATATGTCTTATTTTTTAGTTTTTTTTATTTATTACAAAAAGATTAATAAAAAAAATATAGAAATAATATGATAAAAATAAATGGGACTTATTGGATATTATACACAGAGGACTTTTTTTTTTTTTTTTTTTTTTTCACATCATTCTCTCTATTTTGAGAAAGGCTAAGTGCCTATTCGATATTATACACAGAATGCTAAAGTGCACAATGCAATCTATGGGTTGTTGTGAGAAATTAGTAAAAAATTGGTTTTTGACTTTTTATCAAATTTTTTGATTTTTTTGGAAATGATTTGGGAAGTTGGTAAAAAATTGACTTTTTACTTTTTAGTTTAATATTTATTTATGGTGTCAAATCAAATTAAAATGACCAAAATACTCTTACCCAACATAAGAGATTTATTTTATTTTATTTTTTTCATAGGCCCTAATTTGTAATTTTAGGACTGTTTTTGGCACTTCCCAAAGGGATTTTGTTGCGTTTTTGGCAGCCACGTTTTTGGACATTTTGTCCAAAAACATGGCTTTTTATTATGTTCCCAAAATGGCACTATATACAATATCCATTATGCGCCTAGCATTCCTCTATTTTTCTATTCTTTTTATTTTTTTACAATTCTTTTCGTAAAAAAATTAAAAAAACTTTTAGTCAATTTCCAAACAGTATGTTAAAATTTGTCATTTGAATTATTGTTAATATCGAAAAATATGTAAAATGCGAATCCAGAATTATCACTAACTGATCATACTTGACTGATTCTATGCCACTATGAAAATATAGCTTTAGTTAAAATATAGGGAATTAATGTCCAAACAAAACTAAGTTTTTTAGTTAAAATATAGGGAATTAATGTCCAAACAAAACTAAGTTTTGTTTAGCTTTAGTTAAAATATAGGGAATTAATGTCCAAACAAAACTAAGTTTTGTTTAGAGGGTTTTATTATTATTATTATTATTACAGGAAAATCTTCCTACTCTCTCGCAGGTCTAGAGCGGCGCTCCTTACAGAGATCATCAATATATTTTGTTGTCCGTTCCGAATAAGGAGATTATAACTTTCTATTGTCTGTTTCGAGTAAGAAGAGTATAACTTGGAAACTTATCCCGACTTCCCAAGACAAGCTCTGCTTAAATCAATCACCAAAATATCATGTTGTCCATTCCGAGTAAGAAGACTATAACTTGGAAACTTGCCCCGACCTCCCAAGATAAACTCACAAGCTCCGCTTAAATCAATCACCAAAATGTCATGTTGTCCATTCCGAGTAAGAAGACTATAACTTGAGAACTTGTCCCGACCTCCCAAGATAAACTCCGCTTAAATCAGGACTTGCGCAGCAACTTGACGCTAACCTCCTAATCAACTGTATTACGCCCAAAAAATTGGCTCAAAGAATTTTGAACTTGAGACCTAAGATCTTAACCCACAAACTTTTACCAAGTTATCAAACACCTTTGGATTATCGTTTAGAAGTTTACATTTATGTTTAACACTTTATTTTCTTTTCGTTTAGAGGTTTACGTTTACGTTCAACACTTTCTCTTCTTTTTGGATTAACGTTTATGTTCAAAACCCAAAACTTGTGGCATGTGGGGCATAGAAAAATGGAGACATTACACCTCAGTGACACCTTTTAAAATTAATCACAGGTTCATGAAAAATTTTAATACTTCAATTATTAAAATTTATAAACTTTGTTATTGATTTGGAATTTTTTTTCAAATCCACACTGAATTGTTATTCCCCTTAGAAAAATTGAAGGCCAACAGTGATTATAAGACCAAGCACCTTATTTGGGTGTCATGTTTATTTTATGTAGTGTTGTTGGCGAATTTGCATTAGAGAATGGGACTAGCACTAAACTCTATAACATATTACACAAGCTTATAGGATTCTAGAAAATTTTGGATTCAGATTTTTCACTGTTTATTGCCCGAGTATTAAAATCTACTATGCCATTTAAATTACCAGTTAGAATTGCCATGGTTAGAAAATATACAAGCCTGTCGCATTCTTTAATTATTCATAATTAAATAGTTCGTCAAAATGTAAATGTTTAGTATTACGTTTTTGTACGCACCATTTTTTAATTAGATTATTAAATTCGCATAAAAATTGAAAGAAATTTGTGAATAATTTGTGTAAAATTAGAGTTTAGTGAAGAGAGATTTTTAAAAAGAAAAGTTTATAGTATTTGGTTTGGTTTATTTTTTCAATTTTTTTTTTGAATTTTTTGATTTTCATATTTTTTTGTCTTTGACACTATTTTTTTAATAGCCTTTTATTTTCTTTTTGTAAGAGGGGTTAATTTGAGCCCATTAAATTAATTAAGCCCAATAGTCCAAGATTGGTGGGCCCGAATTTATCACCATCAAACGGCCTAAATGGCTCTAAGCCTCGAAAGGGTTCGGATCTACGAACCTAGAGACTTACTCGGGCTCGGACTCGAAAGGGTATTAAGCAAGCCTAGAGATCCAAGGTACTCGGACTCGAAAGGGTTCGGATCCACGAACCTAGAGACTTACTCGGGCCCGGACTCGAAAGGGTATTAAGCAAGCCTAGAGATCCGAGGCACTCGGACTTGAAAGGGTTCGGATCCACAAACCTAGAGGTCCGAAACACTTGGCTTCGAACGAATTCAGACGCAATCTAGAAGTCGCTCCGTTAATGAGTCCCGGAACACTTGCGGGCTCGAAACTTTCCAAGATTTACGCACCAGAACCATGGGCGTAATGGAGTTCGAACAAAAGACCCGATCCCGAGGACGGTGAGTGGAAACAAATTCACTCTTCGGTTAAACTAGCCTATACCCGGGTCGAGGTGGCACAACCCCGGGGGGTCCATGAGACTCGGCAATACTTTGCGGCAGGACGTCCTCTAGGACTACCCCTGACCTTTTGGGATGATTAGGGATCATTGGTTAGGTGTGGCTAAGAAGAAGGGTTCGCCGAGAGGTTGATCTCCTCTTCGGGGTTTTCCTCATCCTCGGAGAGGTCACCTCCTCGGACAAGGTGGTTAGAGAGAATATTCCCCATGTGCCTTGCACATGGGCTCCATCCTACATCATGAGGTGCCTATAAATACCACCCACCCATAGCTTTACAAGGGATGGATTTTGGAGATTTTTAACTCTTGGGAAAGAACTAATTTCCCTTCTCCATTATCAACCTTGAGAGTGAAAGTGGGAGATCAATGGGAGAGCCTTGCCATTATTCTATTCTCTAGCCATTTTGCCTTCTACTTCACCCAATCTCTTATCTCCATCATCTCCTTTATTGTTGTGTTCCTAAGTTGAGATTATTGAAGAATCTAAGCCTCTCAAATGTAGGAGAGGGTTCAAGAAAGGAGTTGAAAAATTCGAAGATCGAATTCTCTAGAATATGATGAGAGGCTTAGATAGGCTTAGATTCTTCAATAATCTCAACTTAGGAACACGACAACAAAGGAGATGATGGAGATAAGAGATTGGGTGAAGACTCCTACATTTTGGCGACTCTGCTTGGGAGGCGGATTGGTTAATGGTCTCAACGAGATCTGGAATCCACACAACTCCAACAAGGATGGCGGGAGAAGATGAAGTTCACCAACAAGGATCCTCTAATGGTGGTGATAACAGGACCATGGCTCAAGATCAACCACTTTTGCTTGAAGCCATTCAAGGACGTCAAAATACTCAACAAGAGATTCTTACCACTCTTCAGAATCTCACTCACACCATGTTGGTGATGAGTTCTAACTTTGCACCGACGCCAAATGGAAATCAAACTGGTGGTGGAGTTATTTCCGCCGGAGCGCAAAATCAAATCCAAGGAGAAGTAAGCCCCAATCAGCCTATGGCTCATGGCAACACGGCCACAGTAACACATGCTCAAACCACAGTAGGCGGCAACAGTTTGCCCATGCCCGGGCGCCATGGCGTGCCAAGCCAATATCCAATGGTGACTAGGGGAGTTTCTGGTGTAATGAATGGCGCTCCGGCGACTGTTGGTGTCCAGGAAAACATAAGGAGCCATGGCGTGCCAAACCAAGATCCAATGGTGACTAGGGGAGTTTCTGGTGTAATGAATGGCGCTCCGATGACTGTTGGTGTCCAGAAAAACATAAGGAGCATGATGGCGCAGAAGGGAGCTCTGCCCGTACCTAATCTTGTTACGCCATCAATAAATGTTACCCAAGCACCAAGCGGGCCTCCTTTGGTGCCGACAACAAATCTGCAAGCACAACCCGGTATAGCGGCGCCGTGCGGTGGACTCTACGAACCTCAATTCAATATTCCATCACCAACTGGCTTGTCTATAGGTGCTGATGGCCAGTATCGTCAAATGTCATCACCAATGATGAATTCGCAGCACCAGAATGGCCAAGTCGCCCCTAATTAATTTTGTGTGTGCGTGGATGTTTGTTACACACAAAATGTCCTACAAATTAACAGTTCGAATGAATAAAAAAGACCTATGGCGGGCAAATAACACCCTTTAGTCCAAGATATAGACTAGAAAGTAGCTAGACCTTTCTTTTTTGAACAAATGCATTAAGATCCAATTGACCTAAATTGGTATAATAATTATAATGATAGCCTTGTTTATAGTTCCTTACGGCAAACAAGGAAATGCCCGAGAACATGTTGTGCGATTCATTGAGACTCTGGGTATTCATGGTTCAAACCACATCCTCCGGCTGAGAGAATTCTCTAAGTCCCTCACCGACCGAGCATATAGTTTGTATGTTAATTTGGCCCCAAACTCTGTCCGAAGTTGGGAGGAAATGGTTAACAAATTCCACTCTAAGTTCTTTCAAGTAGCGGAGAAGGTGACCACACTCACATTGTGTAAAGAGAAGCAACAAGAAAGTGAAGACATCCTTGACTACGTCAAAAGGTTCCAGGACAAGGCCGTGGATTGTCATGAAGCAGTTGAGGAGAGTTATCTGGTTCAAATCTGTCTAGAAGGGGCATTGAGCAGGTACAAAATGTTTCTAGTTAATCACAAGCTACCCACCTTCTCGGCATTAATAGAAGCAGCTCGGAACATTAGCATTCCTCAGGCTCAGGAGTCCGGATTTGAGGCCAGTTACAAGGCTAGTTTCAAATCATCTTGTGGACCTATTATTGCTGCTGCCTCTGCCCCAGATACCCGAAATTCACAAGGTGGAGGTCATAGAGGCCAGAAGAGAAAGCAATGTAATGGTGAAAAGGGGAATGTTTCTTATCCATGTGGAATCGAGGAAGTAAAAGCTCTAGTTAAGGAATGGGTGGCTGACGGAGAGCCCTGAATTTTGTGTCTACCATCGTACATTGAAACATCCGACAGAGAAGTGTTGGACTCTCAGGAAAATCTTCAAAGATAAAGTCGAGGCAGACGAATTAAGGTTCAAAAAGCGAGGGACTCAAGACATCCGAGAACAACTGTATCCCCAACACCGAGACAAGGGCAAGAATGTTGCTATGATAGCTTATGAAGGCCCAATGATCGAGGCTATCGCCAATCTCAATGACGATGACTGTTATCTGGACGACATCCTCGAGCCAGAGGGTGAGCAAGTTTACTATGGAAGTGCTCTCGATCCAGAGGGCAGAACATTTATGACTCATGGCGAAGATCCCTTTGATCCAGAAGGAGGAGAAGAATACTATGGAAGAGGAGGACACCATGTTTATGTGGCATCTTATTTTGAGGAGACCGAGGAGATGGTTAACTACGAGCCTCCAAGAGTGGAAAAAGATCCGGATCACTATGCCAAAACCCTGCAAGACTGTGTAAAGTTCAAGCAGTTCTTTGACCAGCTTGGACTTTCCAGGGAGGCAAGAATGGAAATCACCAAGTCTATCATTAATATAGCCGAGGCACACCATGAGGAATGCATGTCGACTGAGGGGACTATCCCGAGGAAGGCAAAAGAGCAATCTAATGCCATTACTTTCTCCGAGGCTGATCGGAAGTATCCTTTTTCTCACAATCGCCCGCTTTATGTGACTGCTTTTATTAACGGGGTTGAGTTCAAAAGGGCCTTTCTAGATAGTGGAGCCTCTATCAACATTATGACTCGCGCTACTCTGGAAAAGGCCGGAATCTCTAAAGAACGCATTGTGAAGCAGCCAATAGTCATCACTGGCTTCGGTGGAGAAAGGAGAGTTACTATCGGATACGTAACAGTTGATTTAGCCGTCGGAGAGATTTGCTCGGCCACCAAGTTCCATATTATCGATTCTGAGGCAAATTATCACATCATTTTAGGAAGGACCTGGATGCATAAATATGGGACTGTACCATCAAGTTATCATCAGTGTGTTAAGGCTAAATGGGGAAAGAAGATGGTGACAATTCAAGCTACAGAAAGGCCTTTCGAGATCCATGAAGCTCATTATTCTGATGCCATCTACTTCACCGAATTGGCTGTCGAAGAAGTTCCCACCACCTCTAAGCCTCGAGGGGTCAAAATTCCTCGTTGGGAGGATATCAAAGACGACAAGAAGCCGATGGCAGAATCAAGTAAGCGGGCGATGTCTAGACCAGAAAGTCTGCCTATTTCTCGGAAGGTGATGAAAGTCCGAGAAGGAGGCAAGATGGTGTACTATTTATGAAGGTGAGCGGAGTCGGTTTCTTTAGTCACCGACTTCGAGTCAAAAGAAGAGCCTCCTGAAAATGATATAGTAATAAAGCCTGAAGTGGCTCCAGAATGCATGCAAGATGGGCCGAAGCCTCAGCCTGAACAACTTATTGAAGTAGATTTGAGTGATGGACAAGATGCACCGAGGCTGGTATTCGTAAGTTCGAGCCTTAGCCCAGAGAAGTGGGAACAGTTGTTAAAGTTGATAAGCCGATACTCAGATGTGTTTGCTTGGTCATATAAGGAAATGCCCGGACTAGATCCTGACCTAGTCTCCCACTATCTTGATGTGTTCCCAAACTCCAAGCCAATTAAGCAAGCTGCTCGAAAATATCATCCAGATCTCGAAGAGAAGATTAAGGAGGAGATTGAAAAACTTCAACAGGCTGGTTTCATCCGGCCAATACAGTACCCCACGTGGTTAGCAAACATCGTGCCAGTAAAGAAGAAGAATGGCCAAATCAGAGTATGTGTAGACTTTCGAGATTTGAACAAATCTTGCCCGAAGGATGAATTCCCTCTTCCTCACATCGACACCCTCGTAGATACTACCTCGGGACACCAGATGTTCTCATTCATGGATGGATTCAGTGGATACAATCAGATTAAGATGGCTGAAGAGGATGCAGAAAAGACTACTTTTAGAGCACCTCTCGAAAACTTCTTCTATACAGTCATGTCTTTCGGACTCAACAATGCCGGTGCAACTTACCAAAGGGCTATGACTGCAATTTTTCATGACATGATCCATCATAAGGTAAAAGATTATGTTGATGATCTCGTGGTGAAATCCAAGAAAGAAGAGGACCATCTCCGAGACCTTGAGAAGGTATTAAAGAGGTGCCAGAAATTCAAAATGAGGATGAATCCTCTCAAATGTGCTTTCGAGGTGACGGTCGGGAAGTTCCTCGGGTTTCTTGTACATAGGCATGGTATCGAGGCAGATGAAGACAAGGTCAAGTCTATCAGAGCAATGCCTCCCCCGCATTCTCAGAAGGAGTTAAAGAAGTTCCTCGGGAAGGTGTCTTATATTCGGAGGTTTATCCCAGCACTGGCAGAGATCTCTGCGCCTTTCGGCTCTTTGTTAAAAGGAGATGCCGAGTTCGAGTGGAACCAAGAACACCAAAAGGCCTTTGAGAGAATCAAGGCGGCCTTAACCTCGCTTCAGACCATGATAGCCCCGCAACCCGGGGTCCCTCTAATGTTGTACCTAACTTCAACCCCCAAGTCCATAGGGGCATTATTGGTCCAGGATGTAGATGGAGCAGAACGCCCGGTGTATTACATCAGCCGGAAGATTCGAGGAGCAGAAGTCCGATATACTCCGATAGAGAGACATTGCTTAGCTTTGCAGGCTTGCTATAACCGGGAAGGTGACAAGATGGTTGTTAGCACTGGGTGAATTTGAGATCACATGTGTAGCCCCCAAGGCGATTAAAAGCCAAGCCTTAGCTGACCTTCTTGCTCAAATTCCAAGTGGTGACTATGAACCAGTGAATGAAGAAGTAAGAGGAGAGGTGCATGCATCTATGGCTTCCGAGGAAAGCTTTTGGACATTGAGCTTTGACGGAGGAACAGTCGGAGGTAAAAGAGGAACCGGGATAGTCCTTACAAGCAAAAGTGGGGAAAAGTTATATTTGTCTTATAAACTGGATTTCCATTGTTCGAATAATGAAGCCGAGTATGAGGCTCTTATGTTAGGCTTGATAGCAGCTGAGAAGCACAGTATCAAGAAGATTCAGATTCGGGGGGACTCAAAGTTGATAGTGAAGCAAGTTTCAGGACAGTTTGTCTTAAAGGAGCCTGTCTTGGCCACATATCGAACAACAGTCCAAAGGCTTCTTGACAAATTTCAGAAGGTCGAAATAGAGCATGTGCCTCGTTCCGACAACAAGTTTTTAGATGCCCTCGCTACATTAGGGGCAGGAGTTGATATCCCAGAGGAGGAGGCGACAATTATTATCAAGAAGATAATAGAGCCTTCGATAATACCTGAAGACAAAGGCCTTCCGGAGGACTGGAGATGAGAAGTCCTCGAACAACTCAGAAGCAAAGTTGGAAAATTGACTATGGCCAAGCTTGCCCAATTCATAATTATTCAAGGTAAACTTTATTTCCGAGGAGGTACCGGATTCCTAGCCTGGTGTGTTGGCCAACAAGAAGCAAGTTTCCGACTACAACAGATCCATGAAAAGTCTTGTGGGGCTGGGGATATCAGTCTGTACAGAAAGATCCAAAGACATGGCTATGATAGTGCATGATGGCCACAACCCGAGCAGTTGGTGAAAGCTTTCCAAATGATCTTGCAACCCTAGGGGCAAATTTCAACATTCCATAGAAGAAGTCTATCTATGACATTTACAATTCATATTTACTGCATTATCCAAGGAGTTCTATCTTTCTTATGTCATGAAGAAATTTATTTCCTCCATATTATGTATCTCCATTAGAAGTTATTTTCTCTACATTGTATATCTTCATTATGTTATGTTGCTTGAAACAGTTTTCAATTTTTGTTGCCCCTCAAAGAAGAAAAAGGAATGGTAGACTCAGTTACCAACCTGAAGGGAGTTTTCTTGACACAGTAGAAGTATACTTCCACTCGGACCTCCGAAGAGCAGCCATGGCTTCCATCAATGCAAGCTTTGAGGGTCTTTCTTATTGAAGTAGAGTGTGTGTTCCCACTTCAACTTCTGAAGAATAGCCCTTACTTCTGTCAGTTCAAGCTTCAAGGATCTTTCTTGTTGAAATAGAGTATACTCCTACTCGGACTTTCGAAGGACAACCTTTGCTTCCATTGATTACCAAAGAAGAGAGTATACATACATTTAGACTTTCGAAAGACATCTCTTGATTTCATTCAGACTTCCGAGGGACATCTCTTACTCTCATTAGTGTGGGTTTGAACTTCCGAGGGACAGCCTTTGTTTCTATTCAAACTTCCGAAGAACAGCACTTACTTCCATCAGTGCAAGCTTCGAGGGTCTTTCTTGTTGAAGCAGAGTGTGTGTTCCCACTCGGAGAGCTTCGAGGATCTCTCTTGTTGAAGTAGAGTGTGTGCTCCCACTCTGACTTTCGAAGAGCAAATCTTGTTTCCATCAATGTGAGCTTCGAGGATCTTTCTTGTTGAAGTAGAGTGTGTGCTCCCACTCAGACTTTCGAAGAACAGACCTCGTTTCCATCAATGCAAGCCTCAAGGATCTTTCTTGCTAAAGTAGAGTGTGTTCTCCGCCTCAGACTTTCGGAGAACGAATCTCGCTTCCGCCAGTGCGAGCTTCGAGGGATAACCTATGCTTCCATTAGCTGCCGAAGTAGAAGTACGCATCCACTCGGACTTCCGAGAGACAGCCTTGTTTCTGCTCGGACTTCTGAGGGAGAGCCTTCCGAGGGACAACTCTTGCTCTCATTAGTGCGGGTTCGAAGAACAGCCCTTGATTTCATCAATACGAGCTCCGAGGATTTTTCTTTGCAAAGTAGAGTGGACTCTTACTCGAACTCCCGAGGGATAGCCTTTGCTTCCGTTAGCTGCCGAAGTAGAAGTGCGCATCCACTCGGACTTCCGAGGGATAGCCTTGTTTATGCTTGGACTTCTGAGGGAGAGCCTTGTTTCCACTCAAACTTCTGAGGGACAGCCTTGTTTCTGCTCGGACTTCTGAGGGACAGCCTTGTTTTCGCTCGAACTTTTGAGGGACAGCCTTGCTTTTGCTCGGACTTCTGAGAAACAATCTTTATTTCTGTTGGTGCAAGCTTGGTAGACTCGGTTATCTTCCAGAGGAATCTTTCTTGCCAAAGTAGGGTGTGTGCTACCTTCGAACTCCCGAGGGACAGTCTTGCTTCTGTTCGGACTTCCGAGGAACAGCCCTTGCTCTCATTAGTGCGGGTTCCAAGGGCCCCGAGGTCGTGGATTTCAATCAAGAATTCATTTGCCTGAAATAGCAAAGCCGACAACTGAGACAAACAATATCAATTTCAGATCATGATTCAGGCATTATCAGAATGGGGCAACATCAACAAATAATAATTATCTATTTAAGCTACAACGATTTTATTACTCTGAGCAAGTTCATAAAAATGCAGCAATCAAGTTTTTGTCTCTCCGGGCCGTTTCCTCTCAAGCCGACGTAAAGCTACAACGGTCACACAAAATTTTGGCATCAACTATGTATTTCCCAAGCATCCACAAGTTAACAAACAACAATATATCATCTTTATTATTCAACGAGGTATTTCATCATATCAACAAGTCCTACGATGAATTCTACATCAAGAGTTCAAGCATGATATCTAATATTCTCGGGGTTGCAACAATCAATCATTCGATAACAAGATTTATATATAATATGAAGGGTTTATTTCCTCCGGTTTCATCGACAACAACAATAATTATTTTATTCATCCCATGCAAGCAAAGATAGCAACAACACTCACTTGTAGTCCATGTTCTCTCTCAACATCAATAGCCTAGTGCAAGCATCAAATATTTTGTTTATGTCAGATTTATCAACACAAGGTCAAGCTCCAAAACATGAATTTCAGGATTACATTACTCATGCCAATCAAGATTCAATAGAACCTTCGGCTATCTCGAGTTCAAAATTGCTATACAACAATACTCACAAATCTCAAAGGCCCAAATCAAATTTCTAGTAAGGCTCAGAAATTCAGATTTCGTCAAAACAAGAGGTTACTCACAGATTTATGCCAACAGCGGAAGAGCACGGCTGAGTTAGAGGCAATGTGGGAAGCAGAAAATAGGCCACAAATGGGTGGAACCAGTACCGAAGATAGCCGGAGTAAATCAATAACAACACCGGCAGTGGGCAAGAAAGAATATAGTTAGACCGACGCCGCGTTGAGTGGGCGGCGTGGTCAATAACCAGTTACAGTTGAAGCAGAAGGTAGTGTGGAAAACGTAGCGGAGTTGGCGTTGACGTTGAGCAACAAGACTGAGCTAGGTTGGGCAAGACCACACACGTTGCGTTGAGAGGGCGAACGTGCGTGGTCAACATCGGATAAACTGAAGCCGGAAGCAGCGATGTGGAGCTAGGTTGGGCAAGACCACACACGTTGCGTTGAGAGGGCGAACGTGCGTGGTTGACGCCGGATAGCTGAAGCCGGAAGCAGCGATGTGGAGCTAGGTTGGGCAAGACCACACACGTTGCGTTGAGAGGGCGGACGTGCGTGGTTGACGCCGGATAGCTGAAGCCGGAAGCAGCAATGTGGAGCTAGGTTGGGCGAGACCACACACGTTGCGTTGAGAGGGCGAACGTGCGTGGTCGACGTCGGATAAGCTGAAGCCGGAAGCAGCGATGGTGATAAATCCGAACCCTTTCGAGACAGACAAGCCGCGTGAGTTGAGGTGGTCGTGCACAGAGCAGCGCCATGGTGGGTTCGCACAGAAGCCAACGGTGGCACTCGAAGGGTTCAACATCAGACCTGTATGCATGTCAAAATTATTGTCAAAATTATCGGCACATGACAAGTTTCAAAACATGAATTTCAAGACTACATTTATCATGCAAATCAAGATTCAAGTGGGTCATTCTCTCTCAGATTACAGTATTCAATATTACCCAGTTTATACAAGACTTTGACTCTAAATAAACAGAGTAAGTTAGAGTAACAAATTTCAGGCCCAAGATCTCAAATATTTTTTTATTTGGATATTATATTTCTCAGTCATACCAATTTCAAGAATATCTCTTCCAAATCAAGATTCAATGGAAGCTTCAGCTATCTCAAGTTCAAAATTGGTATACAACAATGCTCACAAATCTCAAAAGCCCAAATCAAATTTCCAGCAAGGCTCACAAATTCACATTTCATCAAAACAAGAGGTTAGAGAGTGGGTTTCGAAAAATATACTTACAGATATGAAGGCCACACCCGTGAGAGAGAGTGGGAGCTGGGTGAAAAGCAGCACTAGTGAGCATTGGTGTGGTATGAGGTCGGCATGGATGGTCCACGACCGAGTTGAAATCGGTAAAATAATGCAAGCCCGGAGACGCACGAAGGTGAGAGCTGAACCGTAGTGTAGCAGCGGGTGGAGCAGATCAACAACTCAGTGTACTGACTGCCGTGAGCGAGTGCGCGCCTCCAGGTTGTCACGTTGTCAACAAGTTGAACGGTGACCACACATCGCGTTGAGTGGGGCGATATGTGTGGTCAACGTTGGACCGTCGAGGCCAGAAGCAAACCAGCAGAGAGAGGCCAGCGGTAGGAGGGGTCGGTGACGACGACGGCCCCAATACCTGGAGTTGTAGCAGGTGTTGGCATGAACCGGTGGTAGCCGAAGCTGTCGCGACATCATCGTTAGCCGAAGTCGTGGCCACCGACGGTGCTGCGGAACTCCAATTGAAGAAGAGGACAGCTGGGTTGGTCTCTGTGTAAAGAGAGAAGGAGGCCGCAACAGCTGTGCAACAAAACAAAAAAATAAAGAAAAGAGAGGCTACATTGATTAGGGTTGCTATCCTTATCTTTGAATAGAATAAAAAAAGGGGTGTGATACATGGCATATCCTCTCAAATATTCTGCATATATATATATATATATATAACGGCCCAGTTCACGGTTTTCCAATTTAAAAGAAAAAAAAAATGGGTTTCCACTTTTGTAGAGAGAGAAATCACATGGGTCATCATGATATGGGACTTGTTTGTTTTCCAATGGAAAAATTATTTTTTGGGTTTGAAGTTTCTGGAGTGAGAATGTCTAAAAAAGCAATATGTTTATATGTTGTAAAAAAAAGGGGGGTCAGCTTTCTGATTTGTTTATTCTCGAAAAAAAAGTTCCAAAAAAATCTCTCTCTCTCTCTCTACATATACATACATATACTGTCTGTATATCCTCATATTGCTCTCTTTAGAATCACGAGATTAGCCTGATAGTTCCAAGCAATTGGATCTTATTTGTCTTCGATTTTTGCACAATGCATGATCAGATCAAGGTTTAGCGCCACACTTGGACTTCTACGTCCAATCTTCACTACCACTACCTACACGCAAGGGGCAAATGTAAGAGGAGCTAA